TTTTGAGGCGCTCGTACGCGGGGCCTAGACATACTTGAGGGTTGGTATCGCGGTCCTGGGGTGGCACTTGGCCAGGGAACCCACTCGCAAAATTTTGGCGTCGGAGCTTGCTTGTGTGCCGAGTTGAAATACCCGGACACACACACACACACACACACACACACACACACACACATACACATACACACACACACATATACATACACACACACACACCGGGGTTGTCGCAGTATGCGTTTTTGCATTTGCATATTATGCAAAAACGCATAAAAACGGGAAAAACGAATCCAAAGAATCAGAACCTCCTCCCCCCTTGGCACCATCACCACCCCAACTGCGACATCCAGAATCCTTTGCCGTAACGAAGTAAGGACACCTGAAAAAATCGTTCTCAGATTGTGTATGACACCAGCCGAACCGAGCCGAGTTTTAATAATCGTCTCGATTTCCTCCCACTACATAACTATTTGCAAAAAGAAGCTAATTCTGCGACAACATTGCCCATATGGGCGGTTAAATAACACATGATTTCCATTGCGATTTGATAGCAAAAGTACTTTGGTGGTACTTAGGTGGTAAGTGTGGCGTACTTTATTAGCTGATGCTAAATGTCGTTAGATACAGCTAAGGAATGAAACACAGACTTCCTGCAAATTTTAGTACATGTCAAAACGCAAATTTTAGTACATTTCGTAGCTTCAGTTTCATCTTTGCTGACCTAGTGTATTTTAAAAACGTTAGCGGTTCAGTTTTCCCCTCTACGACTGGTTCGTTTCTTTCGAAGATAGATTTTTGTTGCCTCGTGCTAACGAGTTTAACTCGCTATCAGCTTGCCCATAGGAAATTCTCCAAAGAGCAAATTACCGAAAATTTTGCCACCGAGTGGTACGAGTTATTGCCGAATTCCTCTGTTTTTCACACAGGTTAAATTATGGAGAATTATTTTTTATGCGTTTTTTGCAGCTATGCAATGCAGAAAACGCATATTGACGAGGGGTTGTGTGTGTGTCTGTGTGTTCGTCTGCACCAATTTTTCATCTCGAGACCCACAAAAGCTACAGGGCTGAAACTTAAGGATCTTAATCTACATGCGTCTACGGGCCCTAATCCTCAGAATGGGCACTCTCATCCGCGTGATACCCATGTACGGGCTCGCTAATGTTTTTTACGGGCAAGCTGCTAAATCGGAAACCGGGGAAGCTGGAAAGCTGAAATTTTGAGGGGATGTTCCCAGTCCAGGTGGGTATTAGTGGGCTCAAAACCAGCCCCCGGGTGAGAGTGGTACCCACGTGTGGGCCCGTGAAATTTTCTTTCGGGTAAGCTGCTAACTCGGGAGCCTGAGGAGCTAGAAGACTGGAATTTTGAAGAGATGTTTCCTGACAGTCCTGGCCGCCAGTCTAAAATTCTTTTAAGTAGAAACATCTTCCGGAAAAACCAGTGCTGTTAGCGACAGAAATCTGCGGGAAGCTTGCAAAAAAACGCATCTTCGCACGAGGAGACCGTGCGTTGGCCAATTATTTGGTTCTAGGTGGCGATTCTGAAGAACTAATGCTGATGCCGGAGGAAACGGCTGTTCAGGGAGCTGAAACAAGCAAACGTGTAAAGCAGTCTTCATCGGGTTCGATCAAGCCAACCCATCAGGTAGTTTTTTTTTTTTTAATTTTTGGTATATCATCTCACTTCTGTACGCTTAAGCATTTGTCTTACGAGTGTATGCATTTCATTTAGGTTATCTGGTCATCACATTCCAACGATTCAGCTAATCTTAACGCAGATCGCTTTCATATACGCGCTTTATTTGATACAATGAAAAGAATTGTTTCGGATGACGTCGCTGCTGAACCCGAAAACGAGTAAGGAAATCAAGCATTATTGTTTGCTCATGTCTAACGCTGTATTATTATTTTTTTTTTTTATGTGGAAGGGCTATGGTTTTTTTATTTTTTGTGAAACAGGGAATGGGCCGAATTTGTTTTTGCAGGATGAAAATTCTGTGCAAAATCGTGACTTTTTCCGTTTTGCTAATGCATTTTTTTGTATTCAGTTAAAAAGTTGAAAATTTTTGCATTTG